GGCTCAGGGGTCCAAGATTATCTTCTGTGTCTGTGTTAATTGGTTTCCCTTTTCTTTGTTGAAGAGGGTCTGTGCAATCCTTCTGCCTAGTCCGCCAACTTGCCGGAACTTCTCCTTACTAAGTTTTTATGAGTTCACCAACTAATCTTTTAAGCCTGGTCCAAATTTCTTTAATTCTATGATGCACAGATATTTAATAATCTCTTGGATGGTATGTGCTTCACTAAAATTATTTTGGTTTGACCAAGTAAGTTTATAATTTCATTTACATCAGAGTCTTAAAAGAACCTTGTGAGTTTTGTATTATGCCAGTCTATTAAAATGATGACAATTCTATTTTCTGTGTTTTCCTTTCAGGCTCTTTCAAGACACTCGTTCTTCCATCTGTAAGTATCTGCTTTAAAAAAAAATCTATGTCAGAAAAATAAATTGCATCAATGAACTAAATAAATTAATATTCAATTAGCTTTTATGTCAATGTACATTTCTTATGTGCTTGGCTTGAGTTTAGTTCAGACTTTGGATTAAATTTCAGGTAGGTTGGTTGTTGTTAGTTGCCATGGAGTAGATTCCCACTCATGTTGGGTGGCCTCGTGTTTGCAGAGTCAAACTGCTTCACGTAGGATTTTCAAGGCTGTGACCTTTGGAAGCAGGTTGCCACGCTTGACTTCCCATGAGCCTCTGGATGGGTTTGAACCACCAAACTTTTTGTCTAGTAATTGATTCGAACACTTAACCTTTTGAACCACCCAGGTTCTTCAAACTCATTGCAAGGATTTTCCCATTGTAAAATAGAGAACTTTATTGAGGGAAACTTCACTGGACCATTACTACCGAAACCTAGGCTGGTCCTGCTTCTGCTTTAATAAGCCTTGTAGTCTTGAACATGTAATTAATACTCACTTGTTCAGTTTCTTTGTCCTTGAAGTGGGCAGGGCCAATGCTAAATCATTTGGAGACTGAATAAAATACAAAATCAATAACAATGATCCTGTCTTTATAGGAAATTTTGATACTTTGTTCATTATTAATTTTATGCATTAATTTTGATAGATGAAAATAATTGTATGAAAATTATTTATCTTGATTACTGAGTTTTTTTGGCAGCTCTCCTTAAATTTGCACCTTAGGTAGGTGTTTCACTCACCTCACCCTAGGCCTGGCCCTTGAAAAGGGGATAAAGATACTGTCACTATTTCTTAGGGATGCTTGGAGGTGAAATGAGATGTGAAAGTGCTGTGAAATTTGCTATAGAAGTGGAGAGGGGTTATTATTTTATTGAGAGAGTCATAAACCTGATGATTAAACATTGCTTGTGAACTAATCCTGCTTCCCACTTTGATTTGGAAGTCTGTACCTTTTGTTTTTGGGTTGCAAAATTTAATGTATGCTAGAGTAGACCATATCCGCTGAGAGATGCATTTTGCTGTACGTTTCTGAGGATAGATGCCTAATTACTTTGGTCCTGACACATAACATACTTAAGTAGAATCAGCATTACCTGATGAGCCAGGTTTGCTCATCACCTCTTGAAGGTTATTTATCAAGCACATTCAGAAACCACATTCATTTTGGGGAGTTCCTAAGGACTATAGTGCTCCCAAACAGTACTTTATGAAAATTACTTGTATTCCATAGTTGTATGTCTCTTACCCATTATGTTTGTACTTTCCTTTCTAAGAAATTCACTATTGGTAACAATAGAAAGTGGGAATAAAAAAAGGCATAAGCAAGGACAAGTGGGGGAATAACCCTACCTCTAGTGATTGACAGTAGAACATTAGATGCTGGCCACCAATGCCTGTGTGCATAGCTCTGTTAAAGAGTATTCCAATAGTAAGATTAAAATAAGTCCTATGTAATGTTATTATCCTGTAGCAGACACAGGGTGGGATTTAAGTTCATGCAGCCATCTGGACTTCTGGAGTCTGTAGTCACACATGACACAAGTGTTTAGAGGCTGAGAGGAGAAAACATATAGGCAGGACAAGGGCCCCAGTCTTCGTCCAGTAATAACAATACAAACAGCATTTAGCCTATCATTTGCCAGAAGTATGGCTATTATAATTCTTTTAAGCCTAAGTATAAGATGTAATAACACCAACACCTATGTTTGTCTTTCATAATTTGCTTTTTTTCTATTGTATTTTGTTAGATGCTGTTGAGTCAAATAGAGCAATTATTTATTGAAAGCTTCACTAGGGATTCTATTTAGGAATATATCCCTTTTTAGTAAAATAAATTTTTAAAAAACTTAGTTATAATGGGTCTCGGGCAAACTTGATAATGCTTGGCAAAAAAGGAAAGTTCTGCATTTTTATAAGCTTTCTATTAAAATAGACCCAACTTTAAAAATACACTTGCATTCTGATGTTTATAAACTTTATAGTTTAAATTATTTTTAAAGGTGATAGTGGCTTTTCAAGGAGTTCTGGTGGCACAATGGCTAAAGCATTTGGCTGCTAATCAAAGGGTTGTCAGTGAATCCACCAACTGCTTCACGGGAAAAAGATGAGGGTCTGCTTCAGTAAAGATTTACAGCCTTGGAAACCCTTTGGGGGCATTTCTGCTCTGTCCTGTATGGTCACTATAACTTGGAATCGACTTGATGGCAGTGGGCAGTGGGTAGTGGCTTTTGCAGTAAAATAGGAATGTTTAAAGAATATGTTAAAAAATGAATCTTTACTATCTGATTCTACTTTTGATACACTAAAATCAGCCTTCAATAACAAATAAAGAAAAACATAACTGATAATAAGATATGAAGACTATATTTTGGTACAAAATATGCTAGAAATTATTTTTTGTAAATAAACCCAACTTAAAATGAGAATTTTTTTTTTAAGTTTCTAATGTTTTTTGAGTAATGTACCTTTTAGTAACACTGATTACATTCTTCAAGTTCTGCAGCCATTCTTTTTTTTCAAAATTATGATTTAGGTGAAAGTTTACAGAGCAAATTCATTTTCCATATGACAGTTCATATACATTTTGTTTCATGACATTGACTGCAATCCCCATGATATAACATCTTTCTTCCCACTCCTTCCCTTTAGTTATCCTTTCCTTGTGTACTTTTTTTCCTATGCATACCTGTCCTCTGAGCTATCTCCCTCTGCAAATGCTGCCCTTGTGGTCTCCCACGGTTGATTGGTCTAAGGAGTGTACCTGGTGTAAATGTTTACTTCATATGCTTGTCTATTGTTTGGCTGGAAGCCATGGGAGTGAGTTCAATTCCAGGCCTGAAGGGTCACTGGGGACCATGGTCTTGGGGATTTCATCTCTCTCTATCAGACCAGTAAACCTATTTTTTTTTTTTTTTTTTTTTAATTTTTAGGTTTGTTCCACAATTTTCTTCTGCTTTATCCAAGATCTCATATTGTGATTCCTTTCCAGGTGGTTGACAGTGGTAGCTGGGCACCACCTAGTTCTGGTCTCAGAGTCATGTAGGCTGAGGTGTGCAAGGTCTACTAGTCCCTTGGACTAATTGTTTCCATGAGTCTTTGGTTTTCTTCATTTTTCTTTACTGCAATCATTCTTACTTTTCTGAGTTAAGGAGCTCTGGTGGTATAGTGGCTAAGGCATTTGACTGCCAACTAGAAGGTCAACAGTTCAAACC